CTCTGCCTGCCTTTGTTTTGCTACTTACAAAGATAACAAATAGAACTGTCTAAATGTTCTATTTTGAATGGCTCTTAGAGGCTTAACTCTCCGTTCTACTCACCCGCAGCCGATTATCCATTACTGTCCACACTCGGGCGCCATAGTCATTGGATGTGCCCAGTATGTAGGCTCCAGTTGAGTCAAAGTCCACAGAGTTGATGCCAGCGCTGCTTCCGCTCAGCACAGCACGCGGCTCCGTCGAACCTAACGAGCATTGATTGCAGTTAATAAAGCTAATCTCTTTCGGCAGCTGTGCAATTAATCTATGGAGAATTACCTTTGCCAACATCCCAGAGTTTGACTTTCCTATCGGCACCGCCCGTGGCTACCATGCGCTCCACCGGACTCCAGCGTACTGCATGCGATTCGTTCTCATGCGCCTCGAATTTCATGAAAATCTTCGTCGGATTCGGCTGGCCCAGGTAGCCAGCAGCTTTGAGAGTCTCGATGGAGGTATTTGTATTGGGACGCACAACATCATGGACAGCCTCGCCGCCCATAAATCTAGCACTGATATATTCCTCGTCGTTCAGACCCAAAGCTTCCATGGCGCCGTTGATTGAGCCGTCATCAATTTCGTCGTCGCTCCCAGCGGGGCCACCAAATTGGGCTGGGCTCGAGTTGCGATGCAGTGGCGTGCCGCCCGGTGCAGGAACAATCGGATTTACCGCCGAATTGGGTTCGCGCACGGCGTCCTCCAAATCACGTTTCAGTTTAGCCGAACGTTTTCTGAAAAGTGACGGCAGTCTTTTTCTAGATATTTTCGAAATCGGTTACATATGTTTATGTTGAACCATATAAAAGCAAAACAAGAAAACAAAAAAATATTAAATTCGAAAAAGCCCGTCTAGATAGATAGATACGAATCGGGATTATTTACCTTTAACAAAAGCAATTTAGTTGCATAACAATGTGATTTATTAATTTTTAATGACCCAATGAACAAGCTTGCGAGTTATGTAAGTAGCGAGCGAAGTTATTGCAATCAGCCACAAGAATTCAAAATTTAATAATAAATGAAAAAATCAAAACTCTATGAATACAAGTGTTCAAAAATATGTTGCTGAAAATCTAGAATTTCTTGTCAATATACATACTTAGAAGAGATCTCTTGTTAACGTGTTTTATAATACTTAAAATTGATATCACAAACTGAGTTTTACTTTCATTTCAAATTATTAATATTTTACACACAATATTTGTGAATTAAATGATATCTAATTCATGCAATTTCTTCAACTCTACTGTGAAAACGATTTTGTTTTTTATTTTTGTGAAAATATATATTTTTAGCATACCAAAAAGATTTGCAAGTTTTAGCCAATACTTATCAACATTTCTATAAATATTATATGTATATATAGATATATATACAATATCATAATATGAACCGATAACATGAATGAATGCAGTGCACGTTTAACAAAAAACGATATAAAAAATCATAAAAATAAAAGCATTCTTCTTTTTTCATTTCACTTTTCTGTTTTGTTGTCTTTGTGTTTGTTACCTTATTAAACTTTCGTTTTCTTCATTCAGTTTATCGGCGTCTTTTGCCCGATAGCGCATCAAACGTTCCAGCAAGTAGCGATTCTCATCCTGTAAGTCGAGAGAAATTAAAAAAGTGTCAGCAAATAATGCAAATTAATATAATTATTATAATTAATAATGTATGGGAGCTACATTCATACATATGCAAATTCATTTGATTTGACCCATAAAAACTTTTACGCCTGAACAAAGAAACAAGTTTGGCCGTAGAAAGATAAAACAAGACAAATTCACGTCTGCTCGCTTCGTGGCTAATTATATATTCAGTTCCGAAATGACTCTGACTGAGTTAGACCAACAATTTCATTACCTAGCTATCAGCTAGCTATAAGCTGGCAAATGGAGTTTAAACTCTTCAACTTTCATTATACTCTTCTCACTTCATTAGACTCATTATACCTTTATATATAATCGACTTACCGAGTTCCTTTAATAACGACTATGCTATTTAATATTCACATGCATTTATAACATAAACAATATAATTTGGAACGATATTTAAAAAAAAAATATCTGACAATACTTGTGGGCAAAAATGTTTAGAAATTGTAAAGCAGTGCTATAACGACCAGGCTTAACTGAGGAATCGGCACAACTAACCTGCACATTGCGCATTTTCTCCTCCAGGGAACTGAAGGCCAACTGCAGAGCCGTGTGCTCATCCAGCAAGGTTGTGTTCAGCTTCTTGAGCTCCTCCAGGCTGGAGTGTAGCAGCTGCACCTCAGCCCTTAAGCGATTGTTGGCAGTTTGTTGTTCGTAAAGACTGAAACGGTAGAGAGGGAGAAAGCAGCATCAATTGAATCAGAAATGGCAAGAGTTCTCTATGGCACATACCTGTGCTCCTTTTCGGAAAGTAGCTCCTTTTGCTGCTCCACTTTGAGATTTAAGTCGACAATCATTTGGGAGTGCTCGCCCTTTCTTTTGTGCAGGTCCGTCAGCTCCTCCTGTTGCGCCAGCAGCTTCTTTTCCAGCGTGGCAATGGCCACATTGGGACCGGTACCACCTGTTGACACGGCATTGCGCAGTTGCTCGTTCTCCACGGACAATTTCAGATTGTCTGACTTTAATTGCGCAACATGATCTATGAGGCGGTTGTCTATGATGGTGCTCAGTGGAATAGAACAAGTTTTTAGTTAGTACGCACTCAATCGAAATGAGTCGCCGTCAGGCTTTGTCTGCAGTCTATATATAAATATATGTGTATGTATGTGCATGCGTGTGCACATGTTACTCACTTTGCACAATAATCTCCTTGAAGTTCTCACACTCCTTGCGGTCACGTTCGCGCAATCTTTGGACAACGTGCTCGCGCCACAGGCACTCCTCAGTGGACATCGTGAGATCCGAATGGGCTCTGGCTTGCTCTAAATTAATATATTGCGCCTCGCTGCTGTTGCTGTCGTCACAATGCGTATACAGACACATTCATAGTGGCAAGGCTATTCTAATTAATTTCCAAAATCGATGCGTTACGTTGCTCGAGCGTAATTGCTTTTCGTTTAAGCTAATGTTTTCTTTCTTGTTAAAATGAATTTGTTGTGACCGGACGATTATTGTTTTACGCTATTTAGCAGAACAGCTGTTTATCGCTGTGGCGGCCAGTCGATAAGTGGTCAATCGGGAAACGGCGTGTTAAATGAAAAATACCAAGAATAACGTAAGCCATCATAAATTACGTAGTATTGTTCGTTAGTTGATTAACGATGCAATATGCCTTCAATTAAAGTTTAATACTTTTTTTTTTTTTGTATGGTATGGTATGTTTAATTATGTTATAAAGAATATCTTTAGACAATAAAAGTGTTACTTTTTTACTGCTTATATCAATACAATTTTACCTAATTCCTGTTTGAATTTGCTGAAAAGTATATTTTTAGTATTTTCTTTAGAGCCGTTAAAAATATACTTATTTGTTGCTTAAAATGTTTACTACTATAATTAGCTGATATGAATATTTGACTATGTATTACCTGCTACTTCGTTTGATATAAGTGCTAGAAGTAATTTTGAAATATTGACACAGCTACATATGCATTAAATAAGTTCTTTTCATTGAGGGTTTGTAATAAACTCCATTTCAACACTATTAAACGCAAATTTTCATGAAATTTCAGATATGTCCATTCTTTTACAAACAATGTGTAAAAAAAACTTTCCTTAATGCAGTTATGAATATGCGCTTAAAATTTGATAAGCCATGACAGTTTTTTGTTTGTTAATAAAATAAACACAATTAAATTAAGGCACACCTGCACGGCTCAATATGTTCAATCAATATTAATTAAAATACAGGTATTCTCCCTTAGGCGCATTCACATTCCCATTCCTGGCGTTTTGCATGGGTGCTTCGCTTCTGTTGTCGGCGTGTGCGAAGGGCGAGCAGCGGCAGCAGCAGTGGCTGCCTGCACCGAGTTTCATAATTCGACTTAAATGCTACGAGGCAATTTGCAGTAGCAAACAACAACAACAAGAGAAACAGCAACAGCAACAGCAACAAAGCACAAACAACATGAACAAAGTGCACATTCCTGCCGCTAAAACGCCGCCTGCTGCTGCTGCTGCTGCTGGCGCTGCCACTGCCACTGCCACTGCTGCTGCTGTTGCTGCATCATTACAACTACAACAACAATAATAGCAATAATAACGTGCGGTAGAGAAAAACCATCCACCCACACTTGGACACAACTCAAACAGACCGCAACCCCACGCTGGGCAACCACCACCCATACGTAACGCAACGAGAGCGAGTGAGCTGGAAAGATTGAGAGAGACTGCGCCAGAGCGTAAGCATTGAGTGAGAGCTTTGAGCGCGACTTTAGAACTATGCTGACGCATGCGCTCAACTAACGGGGTGTTTGGAGCTTTTCAAAGAGTCGCCGAATCGCCAAGTCGTTTGGCCATTTTCGGGTGGTTGTCGTTCAAAGCTAAACGCGCTGTTGCGTCGCATTTACTTTGCAACGCCACAGCCGCCTTCGACTGCCTAAGCGAGGCAAAATGAATGTGTGTGCGAGAGAGAGAGAGTGAGAGGGAGAGTGAGAGAGTGGGAGTGCGGGAGAGCCAGTGATTGCAATTGAGCGTATGCTCTTTGCAAAGCTTTCAACTGCTATTCTACTTTCCAAAGTTCAATTGAGAAATTCTGCTCGATGAGTGTGTGCGACTTTTTTTGGCCAGTTTGACGAAAGACGTTCGCGTGTGCGGTAACGGTAAATCCAATCGAGCAATTGGTAAACAAAAACAAATGTTGCTTGAGTGAAGTGTAACAGCGAGAGAGGCGCGGGGGTTGAAAGTTGAACATTGCAGCAGCAAAAGGCGCAATTAAAACGGTGCTAAAAGAATAATTTACAAAATATAAAAGTAAATAATAAAAAGTTAAAAGAAATGTTTATATATAATATAAATATATTTAACTAACTGCAAACTTAGCGGACACAGCAACAACAAAATTAAGGTGGGCTTTACTGTGTGTGTCGCGGCGGGCTAACTGTAAATTGTACACGCCGTGTTGCGCCTTCACCCAAGGGTGCACGGAACAGTGCCACCCTCCTTGAATAAACTTTCCATCCCAATCGTGCGCTGTGTGTGAAAATCACACAGAAAAACAAGCGCAGAGTTTTAGTTTTTATTCGCAACAGCCATTTGCTTAGTGCCACAGCAAAGCCGCGGGCGTGGCGTCCACGGACACGGACACGGCCAGGGACACAGAGACAGCCAGCAGCAGGGGCAGCCGTAGCAGCAGCTGCCGTTGCAACGGGACTATTTCACATTTTGCTCTGCCAGCACTGTTAATTTGTCGTGCATTTGCAGCAACTGGGAAAAACAACTGCGAAAACTTCAGCTCGCAAAAAATAGAAAATAGTTTTTGTTTAGGTGAGTGTGAATACAGTTGATGGCAGATCATATATTTCTCCATTTTTTGTGCTAAATCGGATTTATTGTTGCGCCATAAACTATCTATTACTAGAGTTATGTAGCAGCGCCATAAAGCTACCAAATATTATTTATATGCCACTCTTTTTTTAATATAAAACAAATATACATATAACCATTTGTTGTTTTATAATGAAACTCCATTGTTATTTATTTTTTATGTATAATTCTTTTTTTTTTTTTTTTTAATATAGAACACTGTATATTGTTAAAGAAACACTGTTTCTTTAAAGATTAGATATACAAAATTATTTTATAGTTTACAAATATATATTAAAATTATATAAAAAAAATCTATACATCACAGGGTGGTACATAGTTTGCTTCGTATACAGGGTGATAGAAAATTCTTTTAAAATTAATATTATATGATATTTAATTATGGTTGTACAACTATAATATCCAAAATATTTTAACTTATTTACACTTTACAAGGACAACCCAGTTTCGCTCAGTGTATTCTGCTAAAAAATGCGCAACTGATGCACTGAAGTGATTTAGTCAACAGCCAATACAATAAGGTAGTTAAGGGCTTTCGCAAACAAAAGTGGCCAAAGTCAATTCATATTAAGGGTCAGGCAGCTGCTGGCCCCTTGCTGCCCATGTCCCCGACGAAACCAGTTCGCCAAACCAAACCAAACCAAACCAAACCAAGGCAATCCAAATTCAAATCCAAAATCGAGAGCCGAATCCACATATGTATGCACAGTGGGCAGTCAACTAACTAAACAAAAGGAGCTGGCAATTCTGAAGAGCTTAAAATGCGTTTTGTCAACATTAGACAAAAGGCCAGTTGACTCTATCTCCCTCTCTCTCTCTCTCTCTCTGTCTCTTTATGGGGGTGTTGTGTGTGTCATGTGTGGATAAGGGGAATGATTAATGCTGGCAAAATTGCTTTCGAATTGCCGCCAACACAACAGCTAGCTATAGCCAGATGCCGTGTGGACTTTGTGGATGCGAATGCGAGCTGGAAACTGGAAAATGCACAAAGTGTTGCCGCATCACGCCGCCTGTTGCCGCCAACCCTCAAGGACGGCAAACAACCCTCGTCTTCGAGCAGCAGCTACAGCCAGCGGCTGCAGCACAACTGCAACTGCAGCAATGATGAATAATTCAAATTCAGACGCATCTCGTATGCATGTGCATACAAAAGCAGTGAAGACCAGCTGAGTAACGGTAGCTTGCACAATCCGTAGCAGGTAACCGTGGCTTAAGTGCATTATCCTTGAGCCCCTTTGCCGCTCAGCCCCCTCCCAAAATAATTGCTCAAATCTTGCACCCAAAAGCAAGTTCCCTCAACGCTTTTCGAGGCCTCGCCGGGTCCTTGACTCGCATGAATTTGTTACTCCCCCAGTCCACCTATCCCCAACCAAAGGCCCCCAACCAGCAAGTCACTTACTCTCTGTTATACACCCACCTCTCTGCTATACACCTGCTGTGATCAATCATCAAGGGATGCCCGCCGCCTGGGCTGTTTGTTTTGCTTCCTCATGAACTCGCGCGGCACACTTTTAATTTAAAGAAAACATAACAAAAGCAATTTACTTGAAATCATTGCGAAGTTTATTTACTTCTGCAACAATAACATAATTTTTACTTTTACTTTACTTTATTACATTTTTTATTGATTTTTTTTTTTAAATTTACTTCACTTTAGTTTGTTTGATTTTTATTATTATATTTATTTGCCAAACATTTCTAAGCATGACATTAGAAATAATAGTTTATTATAAATGCTCTGAGACTGCATGAAAAAAGCTGAATGATATGACACTCGATGGATGGTACATCTAGGAAACTTGTGGAAATATTAATCATAATTTGCTCGCTAAATAGAAGGCATAGCCTTATGAATGATATGAAACTGTGCTCAACTCTTCCAAAAAGTTTTACAGAAACAAAACTTGAAACTTGAGTTAAGACAGTTGCCTGACAGAAGCTGAATGCTATGGCACTCAAATAAGTTACATCAATGCCAAAGACTAAAACTATTTGAAATATTCGTCATAACTGCTCGTTAAATAAATTACGTGGCCTTAAGAATCTGTCTGTAAATGTGGGCAAACTCTTTTAGTGAATGTGGCAAAAACTTGAGTGAAGGCAGCTGCATGACAAAAGCTGAATGCTACGATACTCAAGAGAACATCAATGTAAACGACTGAATAATAATGTGAAGCTTCTGTAAATATTGATCATCTTTGCTCACGAAATATGTAGATAACAGATCATATGATTCACCGAAATATAAATGCCCTTAGTTTAGGTCTTCTAGAGAATGTATGGCGGCGGAAGCAGAATGCTCTGAGACTGCATGACAGAAGCTGAATGATATGACACTCACTGGATGGTGCATCTTGAAACTTGAGGAAATATTTTCTCGCTAAATAGAAGGCGTAGCTCTATGAATGTTTATTTTATTTATTTATATGGGATGAATGATTATGAAACTGTGCTCAGCTCTTCTAGTGAATGTGGCAAAATAAAAACTTGAAACTTGGGTTAGGGCGGATGCATGACAAAAGCTGAATGTTATGACACTTGAATAAGGTGCATCAATGCCAATGACTGAAACTATTGGAAATATTCATCATAATTGCTCGTTAAATATATGACGTGGCCTTAAGAATATCTCTGTAAATGTGGGCAAACTCTTTTAGTGAATGTGGCAAAAACTTGAGTGAAGGTAGCTGCATGACAAAAGCTGAATGCTACGGTACTCAACGGAACATCAATGTGAAAGACTGAATTATAATATGAAGCTTCTGTAAATATTGATCCTTATTATATTAATAATTAATTAATTGTAATATTGCCCATTAATTACCTTAAACTTTCCTAATAAATGAACTCAAATTACGACCAACGCAATTCGAGTTCAATTTAATATTTCTCATAGAGAGCAATTCAGCAAATTGAAGAGTATGCATCAACTGTGCATACCCGTCCGCAGCTGTTGCCGCCTTTTCTTAAACAGGGAGTGCTGCACTTTTGGCGTTGACTTTGCGCTGTCTAATGAGAAACATTGAAGCCGGAGCTCAATATAAAGATATCACACTCAGTTTGTGCGCCGCATCCTGGGCTCCTTAACGATATTAGCGAGGTGAGGTCCTGGCGCCGCTGGGTGGGCGTGGCGCGCTGGCTCGAGTTTGGCTTTGGCTATTTCCACGCCGGGCACGTTTCGCTTTTTCCAGCTAAATTAGATTGCGTGCAGAATGTGGGCGAAGTGCTCGACAGGTGCAAACGGCGCTCGGTGGCTGACTGACTGACAGCGCGCCACACAGTGGGGCATTGCGTGTGCAGCTATTGACAAGGCACAGTGGGCAGAGTGGGCAGTTATTGTTCGTACTATGCAGGGCAAACTAATCTCCTTAGTGCTATTAATTATGTGCCGACGCCATTTTGTTAACCACGGCAACCCGCAACCAAAGGCTGAATATGCGTTTCCGAAGCCGCGCTCTCGCTCTCCCCTCTCACTCCCTCCCTCACTCTCTTGCACTCTGTTCTGCCAAGCCATTGTTTAGCTGTTCCGTTAAACTTTATCCTTCTAGCTGCCCTGATAAGCCAGCCAACGAGCCAGTCAGCCACAAAGGCGAACGCTTCACGCAACTTCAGCATGCTTGGAGATTATTCAACGCCTCGCACCCCCCAGTGGAGCGTTTCCAGGAAGAACTTTGTGCCCGGCTCAGCTGTTTGTATTAGCACTTTGATCCGAACAAAATAAAAAACAAATCTACATACACACTATATATATGTGTCTGTGTGTGTAACGCACTAGCATATGTATTTGCGTAGGCGGCGTACACTGTCAGAAATAACTCTTAGCATGAATTTCCATAAGTTTTGCCTGAAGAGACTTTTATACTTGTTAACAAAATGACAAGGGGATATTGGTTTTCTTTAATGCCCGTCTTGCAATATAAAGAGAGGATCACTCCCTTCGTCTCTCCGTTTGAATGCAGCTTTGGCCCTATAACTATATATAAGAGACTCTGCTGTGTCTGTGTTGACTTCCGATATAAACGAAAGATAATAAACTCAGCTGAAACTGAGGACTGAACTTAATATTGCACAAGTTGCAGCCAGCAACAAGATAAGCAGCAACTTTTCGCTGGTGAAAGAGCTTAAGGGGATTTATGCAGATGCCACAAAAAAAAAGAAGAAGTAATATATATGCTAGATATCCAAAGACATTATAATTATAGATCATGGAAATGCATCAAGTTAAGCTGAGCAAACAAGCTTTAAGAATTATCATAATGACAGAGCGATTATTGTACAAATATACACATTATATATAGAAACTATGGCATGACATTATTATTTATTACGTATACGACACGTTTGCCCCACACAAATACGAAATAGATGAGGCGCACAGCTGATGTGTGGGATGCGTAATTGCAAAGCTTGTTTCTGGCCAATTAAGTGCAAATTATATTATAGAAAAAAATGAAAAAATAATGACAGAGAAAGAAAATATATATACTGCGTACGCCCACGAAGTTTTCACAATTCAATTTCAATGCCAGCTCCAGTCCATCTGTCCAACTGTCCGTTCGTCTGACTGTCTGTCTGTCTGTCAACTGCGCCGCTTGACAATTCCGACAAAACAAATCAGCGGCAGCAGCTGAAGCTGAAGCCGAAGCTGTAGCTGAAGCAGTCCAAGTCAAGCCACCCATTTGACTGTGGTCTGTAAGTGTAAGTGAGTGTCATGTGTATGTGTGTGCCTGTGTCTGTGTGTGTCTGTCTGTGTGTTTCTTGTGGCCGCAGCCACAGCGCGTAAGTGAATGAATGGAAATGAAAAAGTGCTGGTGGCACAGAAACTACGTGATCCGCATGCCAAACAGCCAACTGACATTAAATGACTCGGACCACGACGGGCGAGAGACTGACAAGTGCCGACTGGGCGGTGGGCGGTGGTTGGTGGTCGGGAGTGGGCG